TCCACCTTTTCTCGGAGAGCCCTCTCTTTGGGGTCGTTGCTTGTAGCCTGTTTGGCTGTTTGCTCGGCTTCATGTTGCTGGCGGAGTTCTTCTTCTTCTCTTTCCTTCTCCTTTTCTTTTGCCTTTTCTTCTTTCACCTTCTTTGGATGCGTCGCAGTGTACACTGCCTTCTTGGCCTTCTTCGTCGTCTCTTTCGTAGACTTGGTAAAGGCTTTCCAGTGTTCGAGACTGAAGGGATATGTTTAAGCTTACAATCTAAACTATATAATGAGACAGGCACATACCCCCATAACAAAGCCTCGCCCTTTGTATGATGCACTCTATGCAAATCGAGCCCTCTGTCCTTCATAGCATCCAAGAATTGTCTGTAATGATCGATAGAAGTTCTATATTTGCTCTATTAGTAGCGAGCATAGTCTCGGAGGGTTTGCGCCTTACCGGTAATGCCCGGAGAGTGGCGAGAGACTAGTGACCAGTCCATTATCTACCTTGATAAGGCCAGCAGATGTTACTGGAGAAAGTTATCAGAGGTTCCGAAATAGGCATGGTAAAACATACCCAAACCGCCTGAGGTAAAGGAGGAATGTTGGAAGTAGCCGGTTGACTTGAGTCCCACAAAGACGTTATCTTTGATCACAATAAGACAAAGCCACAGAATTACCAATGCCTCTTACAATGTTTATCCTATATTCGCACAGCTGATCAGGATAGATGTCAATGGCGACTAGAGCAACTCACCGAGACATATACCCATGTATTCTTCTGTACCGTCTTCCTCAATAGTCTCTCCATGAGACCCTTTGTAGTAAACTTGTCCTTCCAGATCCTCTGGAAGAAGTTCAAATCTGTTTGCTTCTTGACACCTTGATAGTGCTGTGCAGCTTGTAACTCCTCTTCTGAACTCGAGCTGGATGACGAATCGGATCTGGTACGGTTTACCGGAGGTGCGGAGATGGGTTCATTACTTTCGTCTATTGGAAGGATACCTTTCCCTTCACCAGCATCGCGCCATTTACCAGGGCTAGTGTCCACATATTGACCATTATGATCCCATCTCAATTTCCCATCTGGGTCAATTTTGACGAGATAATTTAAGCGTTGCTCGGCTGACAAATATAAAATTCGCTGCCACCGTTAATCAGCTACCTGCATAGTTTGAGGGATGACGCAGAGCTTACTTCGGATTCGAGTTGCTCTCGATTGCATTCAGGAAGCGATAAATCTTTCCCTGCACCTTTGTCCAACCTTCGGGCGAGTCAGCCGATAGTCGAGTCGTTCAGATGGAAATGACTGACCATCTGAAAAAGTTATCACGCGTATCTTCCTCCAACCACTTTTGATGATAGTACTGGCAAGATATATTATTGAATAGCCTAGTCTTGGTCCACTCGTCTCACCTTGACTAATAAACCGAGGACTTGGTAAGAGTCATGTGGCAGCACAAATGAGAGTATACTGACGATTGGATCCATATCGGTGTTTTCTAGGAAAGAGGTCAAGGATTTGAAACAAATAGTCTCAGGGTTATACGTACGGGTCTACAAGCTCGAGCCAGTGCTGCGTATCGAGCGCCTTCAAGTGTTCGGGATCCCTGTTCTTCTTTCGTGGCTTGCTCGGACCCTGACCATTCTCATCTTCATCATCAGACATGAAAGCATCTCCATCTTGGAGTCTTCCTGCCAGGAATACACCACGTTCCCATCTGGCCATTGGAGTATTGCGGCCTTCCTCTGCGGCATTATTCTCCACCTATCTCACCATCAATTATAAGAGTATAGAATATCATGTATTCAATAACCGGCATTGCATCTGACTGTCGCTCTCACCTTTTTCCTCGCGCCAATAAGAGTGTCCTTCCATAGCGGTCTTCCACTTTTCCTCTCCCTCCTTTCTCGTCTGCCCAGCACGACCACTGATGATCTCCCATCTCCACTGAGAACCAGATTTCCATCTGGCATCGTCCTCTTCCTTTCTCTTCTTCATCCTTTCCACCTTTTCTCGGAGAGCCCTCTCTTTGGGGTCGTTGCTTGTAGCCTGTTTGGCTGTTTGCTCGGCTTCATGTTG